TTTTTTTTTCATTAAAATGATTAATGAAATCACCGAAAATTTTTATAATTATTAAAAAAATTTTTGTTTTTTTTGATCAGTAAGTAAATAATAAATTACTGCAAAAATTATAATACAAACTGCAAATTATTTACGGATTTTTTTATTATTTAATTACTCTAAAGGCTCAATAGAATTAAAATATATTATTTTAAACATTCAAATAGTTTGTTGTTATAAAAAAAAAAAGTTTTTTTAAGGGGGTATTCTAGAAGCATGAATTTCAGGTAATTTTTTGAAGTGCCGTAAAAAAAAGGCAATCAATATTTTTACTATCCATTTTTTTATAAGTTATTTATTAACATTACAAGAATACACAAAAAAATAAAAAAGTTAAAAAACTTGAAAATTCAAAAAATTAGCAGCTGATAAAGTGGGGGGGGGTGTCTCAAAAAATTGGCACGTGACCATGCCCACGATTCCAACCCTCCTAGCAATCAAAAAAAAATTGTAGCATGCAAAACTGTTCGTCCGATAAAATGTTTCATTTTAAATTACAGTGGATGATTACCACTGTGACTGCTCATGCGCGCGCAGCTTGTTTACAACTCTACACTTACCTACCGGACAGCTGACAAAAATAATAAGAAATTAATTTTTTTTTTAATTATTTTTTTTCGGTGATAATTTTATCCGCGGAGAAGATGTTTGTGACGTTTTTGGTTGAAAAATTTCCGCTCTTTCCAGTGATACTAATTTTTTTGTGAAAAAAAAATATTAAATATATTAAAAAAGTGAAAAATATAGCGTTCCGCGATTTTTCAATTTTTTATTAATTTTTTTAATTAACTTCCGTATCGAATTGAGATTTCGCGTTTTTTTATTAAATTCTATGGAAAATTCTCGATTTTTCTGTGTAAAAACATCTCAGTCGAAAATTAGTTCGAACAACGCATAAGAGTAATTTCAGTGGAATAAGTGGGCAGTTTCAGAATTCACCTGCAGGGTCGACCAAAATAATCATTTTGAAGTTAGATGTACTTAATTATTTAATATTTGAGCTGTTCAAACTCAATAATTAGAAAATTTTTTGAGAGAAACTTTTCTTTGGAGTTCTTGAATTGCGAATTTTGAAAATTATCAATTTTCGGACGGACAGGAAAATTTTTTGACCTATTTTGATGTTTTTTTCCGTTTCTAGTGCACTAAATTAATTTTTGAAAAGTATCAAATTAATCTCCATTAAATTATCTTGACAATAGTATGCAAAATATCTTGATTCCGTGAACTAACAAGACTATAATAATGAAAATAGTTGCCGAAATGAGGTGAAAAAAATTTTTTGATCGTAAAGCACTCTCTGATGCTTCGCATCATGAGTCGTGCAATAGCAACCAAGGTTACAACTTCTCCTCAAACCCCAGTCATTCCCCACTTATTATTCTTAGGCTTGGTGACCATAACAAAAGGACCATATCGCCTAACTCTAGCGTAGGTTGAATCCGAACCAAGTAACCATGGATAATAGCGATCCAACATCATTGATCAAAGTAATAAAGAGTATAGGATCAAGATTAGATCCTTGCGGAACGCCTGATGTTGAGTAATAGACTGGAGATAGGAAGCCATAGAGTACAATGTTTTTCCTATTTGTTAGATACGATATCATCAGGCTAGCTAATAATTTCGGTATGCCTAAACTTATTATTTTATCAATTAGTATGGCAATGTCTACTTAGTCAAAGGCTTTAGAGAAGCCAGTATGGATAACATCAACTTGTTTCCAACAGGCTATATTGTCAGCAATATATTGAGTGTATGGAAGTAGGTTAGTTATAACTGATTTCTTCTTTAGAAAGCCATGTTGAGATGAGGAGATGATTGGGACAAAGTATAGTAGCAAGAGATCATAGATTATCATTTCAAAGATTCTTGCGAATGCAGGAATGATTCAGATGGATCTATAGTTTTCAATAATTGTATTTTCACCTTATGAATTGAACAAACTTTGGCAGTCTTCCAATGGTAGGGAAGACACCTTTGGCCAGACAATTCTGATATATTAATTTTAGGGGTAATAATAATGAACCAGAGCATTTCTTAATTATTTTACAGGGAATACCATCAAATAAATTATAATTATTATTAATGAATATTTGCAACAAATATTATAAATAAATAAGTACTGCGAAATTTAGTCATCATTAGTTTTGACAATCAATAATTTTGAAACCACTAATTATGTTTTTCATACATTTTGTATGAATTCATCTATCAATATCGATATTCGATTTAACTTTCTCATCACAAAATATATCAATCGACATTAATTACAGTCAATTTTATCAAATAATTCACCGCTAATTACTTTGTTTTTTACTTAAAATATATATTTATAGAGGCTTCGGCAATTAAATTTATTTTTTTTACGTTTTTTATAAGCTAAATTTCTTTGTTGTACACTGATAGAAGAATTTATTAGAATTAGCCCACCTCAAAAATTAGGTAAAAATTTTTTTTTATTTTCCGTTAAGTTATGACCTCTATAATGTTTTTACGATATTTTGGGCCGATATGTAATATGTAGGGTATAATAATAATGAACCACTCGAAAAAAAAATTGAAATGAAAAAAATTTTTTTTTCTTTCTGAATTGTGAGAAATTTAAAGAATTAGTTTTTTTAAGCCTTTTCAGGTCAATTGTATTTATCTCGGGTTAAATGAATAAGGAAAAAATTTATTTGAGCTGAAAAATTTAACAAAAAATTGAATTATATGACTGGTAAAAAATTAGAAAAACGGTTCACCCTAAAGGCCATCCCTGCAACTTCCCGCTCATGATGTACTTAAACGCTTCAAACTACACATTACGTTTTTGAGCTCTTCGAGCTCAAAAATATTATTTTTGTGTCAATTTGAGCTCTTCGAGCGCAAAACTCTAATAGCAGTTTAAAGACACAATTTTTTTAATTTTCAAACGGCAATAACTTTTGAATTCGTTATAATGATCATGCACGCTGAATCCACGGCTAACCACTCAACTTTGTCTGAGTGTGAAATCCTTAGAACAAAGTATGTTGAAGAACATCCGAATTTATTCGTACAAAATTGGTCATTGGACGACACCGTTGGACAGCACCGAGGAAAAATCTTGTTGCTAGAAAAGAGTATCGAATTTTCGGGATGTACCGGTTATATATCATGCGTAGTGCGCGATCAGCAACAAGATAATATAGAAAATAACATTAGAGCATACATTTCATATGCTGAAGGACTCCAAGATGAGGTCAATAAACAAAATTCCAAGTGCTACCTATTTTACCTAACGACCAGTCGTGAATTTCCTTTCCCTAAAAATTATACCCCTAATCAAAAGATTTCATTTATGCAACGACATAATGCCGCACAAATTTCTGAAACGTATGGTCTAATGCATAGTATATTTAATAATACAAAAAATGCTTTATACGTCATTAATGCTGATTTGCCGACTCTTGATGTGCTTAATAAAGTTATTGAGAGTAATACTAAGTAGTCAGCAATGTATGTACATCATTATGTATATCTGGATATATATATATATATATATATATATATATATCATTAAACAGATGAAAAATAATAAAGGTTATTAAACTAAATCATTCATTTGTCATTTATTACACAAGACTTATAAATGCAAAACATTAGAGTGCTACACGATCGAAAACATTGTTTATTAGTGGAATAATCAAAAATAATAAATATATAATAGTAAAAAAAAATTAAAAGTTCATTGAGCATTATAAGTCGTGCACTTTTGAATCTTTCAAGCCTTTTTCTTCATTTATTTTTATCATTTTTAGGAGCTCAAAGACCTATCATATAGAGCACAGTAGACGAGTTGTACTATCATCTCTATTTTAATTTCGTTATGTAATATACTATCTGATATCTATATTTTTTGCATATATATGTCAATTAGAATTCCCTTGAAACTAAATTTTGTCAACCATATGTACGAAAAAATATTATTAAATCTTACATCTATTAATAAAAAATTCTTATCATTCCAAGAACTTCATTAATTCGTTAGCATTCCCCAAAAAATACTATAATTATCATTAATTAAATGACTTGATTATTTCCGATCTGAATACTGAAGGTTATATGATACGTTCGAAGTTTTTTTCGTCAAAAAAAAAAACTTTTAAAGATGAGGTGAATTAATTTTTATAATTTTTCGGGATCTATTTTTTCCAAAATCTAATCAAGCAAAAAAAATTTCATCAGAGCAACTTATTAGCAACAAAATTAACATCACAAATAGATTATGTTGCTTGAATAATGACCGTGATAACTGATGGTGATGGTCAATGCTGAACGAGTCAATTCCAGCTTTACAGAGGTCTTTTGGCTAGACTCCCTTTATTGGCCACTAAGTCGATTTGTTAAGATAACAGATTAATTTACCGGCGTAACAAACTGATTTGTTATTACAACTTGTCTAATTTTGTTAAGGAAACTAATAGATTTGTTGCTATAAGTATTTACTAATTCGTCCCAACATGTTTTTCAGTTATTCCGTCTATTATATTATTTGTGCCTATATTATTAATAATTTAATTATAAATAAAAAATTTTTATTTTCTCACTATAATTCTTTATAAATTTTATATAATTCCATGAATTCTTATAAAATTTCGTAGAATGCAATTAAATTTTACAAAAATATTTTTTTCCAGGATTTTTATAAAAAAAAAAAGTTATTCAACGATACTTACGTAAATACATACTTTGTTCATATATGAGCTTCCGCGTAACCAACACATAAAAACCAGCCCGTCCATCAATATTATACATTTATGTATATTATTTTCGCGGACAAACAGGCGTAAATAGCAAAAACCAATCAACAATCACGCAAGAAACACCACCAGACAATTTTGAAATCGATATGCTTGCACTAGTCCGCTTTCAATGTCAGTATTCATTACCAACCAACAATATAAACCAGTGGCTTTTGTTCTTCTCTCAATACGCGTAAAAAAACTATCAAAATGCAGCTACGTGATTCGACTAACCCTTCGGTTTCTACTCTGAGTTCTCGAGCATTCGCATTTTTGTATTACGGTGTATTCAAAGTATTAGGACTGTCAACATGGTGGTGCGACTTGGACAAACTGATAGAGTTGGAACTGGAAGTAAACTTCTATAATCTGGAATACGAGATAACATTCAACCAAATGTACTACAATGTTATCTTAGGTGTTTACATGACTTACCTTAACTACAATTACTTCGTCTACGAAAGGGGGTACTTCCCCAAAAACATTGGACTGATGTCGGACGGCGCGGTTAAATACTGCCAGGGTATATCCCTCGAGTCATACTGGATTGTGCTGATGATCTACATGTTCAAGCAGCATGTCCACGTAAATATCCTCAACAGAATGACAGGCATTGACGCCAAATTGCTTGAAGTCTCGGGTCGCAAAGTCAAAAACGGCTTCATGATTTATTTTATGTTTCTCTTCCACTTTTCCATGACCATTGCGTTGATAGTGCTGAAAGCGATTGATTTGTACGATAAGCCATACGAGCAATGGTTCGTTACTGTTATGCCGAGTATTTTCTACAGTTGGATGGTATTGCACTACATTCTATCGCTTGATTTCCTTCTCAGCCGAATTCGAATGATCAATAGGATAGCAAAAAATGCCAATTACGGTGACAAGTTGAGCTTCGGAACGGTCATCAAACTATCAGACCAGAAAAAAACAATCAATGATGAAATTGAGAGTGTTACTGAAGTGTTTGATGAGTTAGCTGATATGGTAGCTGGCTTAGCTAAGTTTTATGAGCTACCACTGTTTATTGCGGCTTTGAATGCTTTGGGAATTGCTACCTTCATTATCTATTACATTCATTCGTGGCATCAGGGAGACACAACTATTAAATCATCAGAGCTCATCATTTATCAACTATGCCTCTCGACGATAATCATCGAGGTTCTTTTATTGACATTTTACTATCTTACTGTCCAGAAAAAGGTAACTCATTTTTTAATATAATTTTTTGAACCTATTAGTTTTTATTACTTCATTTAAATAAATACTTTTTGTTCTAGATAATTTACTTAAAAAAAAATTTTTACATAGACGTTGTTTTTCTGAGAAATAATAATTATTGTTTTTTTCCATATTTAAATAAAGGAATAATAATTTTTCAGGTGAAACAAGCAAGAAGTAATCTGAGTCTGCTGATGAAAAGATTCTATACTAAAACAAAAGTCGAAGTTACGGTAAACTATTTCATTTTTTTTTTTTTTATTTAAATTTTGGTGCTAATTGAAGTTCTGTAATTTGAACTCATAATGCTAGATTTTTACTAAGCTTGCTTTCCTTTTTTTTAGCAACTGAAGAACTTGGATGAGGATTCGGAATTTCATCAAGTGGAAGTACATCAAGACGACTCATCGTTGTTATACAGCGCTGTTGACATGTGAGGTATGTTATTGATTTATGAGAAAATTATTTGGATCAATTTTAATTTAAATTTCAAAATAAATATTTTATCAGTACAGTTTATTTACTCGAACAAAAACATTATTTGGAAAAAAATTTTTTTTTTTTTTTTTCACTGTAAAAGCATGCATTTAATTTTCTAAAATTCAAGTATCTTCCATTCAAACACGCCACAATAAATATAAATTTCATATTGCTTTGCTCAATAAATTTAACGTCTTCATCGTTTTTATTTTACAGATCAGCTTTCAACGGTGTCTTTAGAATGAATTACAGACATCAACACTAACAATTCGCGAACTAGACTACGCAAAAAGTACTATAAGAATAAAAATACCTGTCGCTATTCTTAATATATGCCGTATAGCTATATAGTGTTTCCTTACTTTCCTAGCGAGGAATCGTCAATATGACAATTGTATGATTATTTTACTCGTAAAATTTAGTTGAATTCAACTGTACAGGTGATGACGAAACAGCTGCCTATTTTAACAAAACTGTATATGTTTACGAGAGCTATTAGCTGCACTGATAAAAAATTTGATTCAAGAGAAACAATCTTAAATCAAGAATAGCATTTAAAAAAAAGATTTCCTCAATTTAAGAAAATAAATATTTGAGCTAGTGAATTAATCTTAAGCTAAGAATTTATTCTCTTATCTCAAGAAAATTATTTTCTCCAAAATGGTATTCTTGTGCTTCAAGATTGTTTCTCTTGAATCAAGTTAATTTTTTTTATCAGTGTGTATTTTCAAGTTAGACAAACGAAATTTTGAATCAGATAAACGGATTGTTATTTTGACAAAATACCACTTGTGGTTACTTTGGAGAGTCCATGTTGTCAAGACAATATTTCTTCTCCAAGTAAGCTCAAATAATCGAATGAAAAGGCAATCCTTATTAAAAAAAAAATTTTCAATGATTTTACTTTTTAAACGCCTACTAGAGATATTATTTGAAATGATTTATACAATTTGACAGGATTAAAAATGATTTAAAAATTAATCATAAATCATATTATTTTGTTTAATAAGGAAAAACTTTTCACTTAAAGTTAGCATTAGTTTACTACAAAGATTGCGATGTTCCAAGCGATTTTGTGATGACGAATAAATTTACTTACCTCCATATCTTAAATTTTACTGAAGTTATTAAAACATTAACTTCTGAAATTTATAATGTTTGATATTCATTAATTGTTAGCATTTTGCAGTGAAATGTGTGATAATTATTGTCCGATAATATTGAAATCAGCATATATATAATATCTCACAATTTTTTAGTATTCAGTTCAAATAAGCACAAAAAATGATTCTAAGTTGACATTTACATTTCTTAATAATTCCTAGAACTGGATTTTTTTCTAATTTTTATGATAATACAATGTATAAGGTAAAGGCACCAATTAGTGACAGGGGTCCAATTATTGACACCCTATTGTACTTCAAATCTTATTTCATTATCTACAATATTAATAACAATCGTTTATTTTTTTATACAGTCACTATAATTTAAGAATTAAAAACAAATAATAGTTTAGAAAAATATATGATATTAATAAATTAAAATAATAGAGTTTACTGTAGTATTCTGAAACAACTCGTCAGCGTAAAATATGTTAACTATTTTGGTTAGACAAGCACTCAGATTAAGAGCTGATTTTTAATTATTTCAAAAACTAATAAAATTAAAACGTCTTTTTTAATAAATAAATTAAGTATTAAAAATTAACAATATCAGATATTTACATTCAACTGAATGGTTATAAATTATAAAATAATTGGTGCCAATAATTGGTGCACATAATTTAGGCTGCATCCCATATTGACAGAGGTGAGTTTATATTACGGTTCTGTAACCTAAAGTAAAGGGCCCAGTTTCTTACACTCTAAGAGTAACGGCAGAGGTTATATTACAATAATTAATATAATATTTAATTGGAGTAAATAATTTTTACATCATAAAAAAATTTAGAATTTCTTAAAAGATCATGAATGCGAAAGAATGATATGGAACCAGTTTATGTTGTTATTTTTATTCACGATTGGAATTATAATTAATAACGCATGCAATTAATTAATTTTAATTAAAAAAAAAATTATTATCCTATTAAAAAATGTACTTTTTTTTTTATTTAAAATACCGTTAGAAGTGTCAGTAACTGGGTCAGTGTCAATAATTGGTGCAACGGTATGTCACTAGTTGGATCTATCGATACATCAGCCTATCAATAATTGGTGTATCCGGATATAGTGTCTGTGGTCAAGGTGTCGTATAACCAATTTTTTTTAACATATTTTAAATTAAGATTGTCCAATTTTTTACTTTACACTATATTAATTGCTTCAGTAGCCATACCGTATTGCTGCTGTAGGAATACACAATGCTACAGTAACTTTCTACGAGTAGGTATCTAATAGATGGCTCCAGCAACAATATTTTTTTTTTCCGTGTGGTAACATGGTAATATAGAATCAAACTTTCAATAATCTTACTTTGATAACTTTACATTTTAAAATTTACGACGATACAGCGTAAAAATTTGGACTTTATCTTATTCCATAGAGATTTTTACGATGTAACATCGTAAATTTTGGAATGTAAAATTATCAAAGTGACCGTACTGAAAGTGTGGTACTAAATTGCGATGTTACCATTGTAATTTTTCCTACAACTTTCTGTTCCGTGTACATGGACATATCATCATTGATTCTAAACAATGCTTCTCAACTAACTTTCAATTATCGTCACTTAATAATTCACAAGACTATGTTAAAATTAAATTTATTTTTACTTAAGGAGGTGCTCATGGGGGGACCTATGGGTTTACTCCGGGAGTAAAAAGCATATTTTCAACAATTTTTTATTATACCAAACTTTATTATAAATCTAAGTTTGGTAAAGCCCTTTCGAATGGCACAACCGCGATCGAATTCTAATCTTTTAAAATTAGTTAGGATTTGAAACAAAAAAAAAAATACTTTGTCCAAGTTCTTGTCAATAATATTTTAAAGACTCGTGCTGAATTTCATCAAGATCGGTTCAGTAGTTTTCGAGAAATCTTGACAACAGACTTTAAAAATACCGTTTCGTAAAAAACGCGTTTAAAGTTTGAGTTTTGGGCGTTTAAAGGAAAACTGGCCTTGAGAGCAAAATTTCCCAAGGATTTATCTCCTGAATCCTTACTCCGATCGACTCGAAAATTTAGGACAATATTTTAGACGTGTTGTAAAATTCAATAAAATAATAAAAACCCATTTCTTGAAGCTGTCAAACCCATGTAATCCCTTAATCATGACTTTTTTTGTTTTAAAATAAGCTAACTTTAAAAGAAATTCAAGTAAAGTTAAATTAATTGTGACTTTTTTAATCTTAAACAAGCCGACTCTGTTGCAAAATCAAGTGATGTTGACTTTCTTCTGTCTTAAATTTATCTTAACTAAACCAGAAAAAGTCAAAAGTAAATCATATGTAATGAAAATTTTATACTTACAAAAGAAAATACGCAAGTTAAAATTGAAAGGATTTTAAGTTTTAAGTCAAAACTAAGATTTTTTTACGGCCCCGGAAAGTACTAATAAAATGTATAACTTACCATAATCCTCATTTACAATTATTGGCAATAGGACAATAAAGTATCAATTGAACATGAATTTTCACAACATTCGTCTGCAATACCATTTCCCGCTTCACAGCATTATTTATATTTGTTAAAAATGCTAGCCGTAAGATGGACGGTGTGGCTTAATGTATATAGAATAAGTGAAAGGAAATTTAGTATAGACCGGATAGCTCAAATGGTAGAGTACCCGATATGTCTTCGGAAGGTTCTGGGTTCGAATCCCAGTCCGAGCTATCTAATAATTTTTTCTCGCATATTCTATAAACTCACATTAAGATGATCCTCTCCACAATCCTTTCTCAATCCTTTCCTACCAAAATATCCTGTTACGTGAATGTTGGAACGCTTCACGTAATAATTATCCGTAACTCCTATTCTTTCCCGCTTCACAGCATTATTTATATTTGTTAAAAATGTGGAACGCTTCACGATTTTGCGTGTCATCCTTAATCTAACCGCAATACGGGTTGCGAGGAACTATTTTCATTGATAGCTACTGAACTTTCTTGTACTAAATTTGATTCAAATATCTTGTAATCAAACTCTGTTAAAGGACATACTGCTGCTAGAGACATTGCTAATTTCCGGCCGCAAATTCGAACATGATGAGACGAAGTAACTTTTTTCGTACTAACCAGTGATTCGTTCATCATTAAAATTAACAAAATACAACATAAATTAAACATTTTTAGACGACTAATTGATAACTTTTAAGCTTGTCACTTTGAATCACAATTGGTTATTTTAGATATTGTTCATACCGCTATACTTAAGAGTACACACTGGAATAACTTTGAGCTCTCAGTGCGATTATTTCTAACATAAAAATCTAACAAATCTGGCCACGTTGAAATTTATCAACATTAATTGATAAATTTGCTCTTATCTAAATTACGTTTAATGGCTGATTGAAATCTTTAGCAAA